CTTATCAGTCTTTAATGATTATTATTTTTTATGCAAAGAAGGTTAAGAACAAGAATTAATATCTTTCATTTAATTAAGGGTTTTAGTTGAGATAAAAAAGTCATTGCCACGAGCGAGATTCGAACCCACGATCTTCTACTAGATACGCCGCTGCTCTACCACTTGATTAGATTCACTCATACACTAACTTCCCATCTGAACTCCACCTTTTGAATTTTCCCTCCTTTTTGCCATTTTTCAAATGTCGTGTAATCCATTTGATTCTCGGCGACGAATGAAATGGCCACGGAGAGCATTAGTTAAGGTATACTTCATTTTTACTTATTAAATTCATTAACTTGCAAAATGGCAAAAAGGAGGGAAAATTAAAAAAAGGTGGGGTTGAGAAGGGAAGTTAGTGCCCTAGAGGATCGGGGTCACGATAGCTCAAGTGGGAAGTTCGTGGGTTCGAATCCCGCTCGTGACACTGATTTTTTTATCTCAATTAAACATCCTAATTAATTGAAAGATATTAAATGGTCAAGCGGACCACAAAACTAGTGAACAAAAATTATTGTCACGACCAGGGCTCGAACCCACGACTGCTTTTTACACCTCCATGGTGTACCACTTGAACTATCGTGACTATGCTCTCCGAAATACCAATTCTTCACCTCAACCGACAACTATTTAAATTTTTCCTGTTTAACCGCCAATATTCAAACATCGTACCATCATATACTTGCCCCCCGATGTAGGAGCAATGGGCAACATTTTTCGATGTTTGTTTGTATATGATTTTATTTACAATATAATTCTGCAGGAATAGTTTGGATGGGTAACATAGCTCAGAATATGTTAAATGTTGTATTTTTTTAAGAATCCCAAGTTCAAGTCAACCATTTTGAAGAATACAAGCGTGACATATTTTCTTTATAGATTTTACTGCTGTCAATTGATCTTGCTTTCTTTCATAAGGAAAACGGATTTTTAACTTAAACATTTTACAAGAATGGAATAATAGTCAATACAAAGAAAAATAAAGTTTTTAATCCAATAGGAGCAGCTAGAATGAGTCAAGGTTTTATGTAAACGAAGAAAAGAGAAAATTTTTAACACTACGAGACCGGGAGTTAATTTTTGAGACACCCTTCGTGAGACCGGGCAGTTTTGGAAGCCGCTAACACTTCTTTCTTAAGGGATCGCTTCCAGATTGGTCGGAAGTTGTGGCACTGTGCAGATTCTGGTGTAGGTGGTTGCAAGTCGTGGTCTTACCTGTTAAGAACCACTGTAGGCTCCAGTCTTTGATTCCTTCGAACACTGTGGTACCTCGAAAAATGGAAAGCATCCAACTAGCTTTTTACAAACAGCTTTCAAAGCTGCCCTGAAACTCACCTGATTCAGATTAGAGGCCAGCAGCATTCAGTAATCGTTCTTAAAGCCACCTCTGTATTTGGATGTGTAAGGTCGACTGGATGGTTCGAGATAAACTGCCTTTATTGTGAAAAATTATTTAAAAAATGGCGGGAAACAGGTAAAACGGCTGTTGGCTGTAACTGAAATGTCCCATATACCGGATTTAAAGATAATTGAATTGAACGTTTATTTATAAAAGATCGCAAAAATTAGGTCCCATGAAACTTTCTTACATTTACCGAGAGAGAGAGAGAGAGAGAGAGAGAGAGAGAGAGAGAGAGAGAGAGAGAGAGAGAGAAGATATGTTTCCTTGGGTTTATGTTTAAACCCATTTTCTCACACTGTTTTCCTACAATATTTAGGGCGTTTTTGCATCTGATTTGACAGTGTCATCGAATTTCAATTTTATGATTGTACCAGGCCATCTACGCAGCCTATGGTATGGTACCCTTTTCTATCATGCTTAATATTTGTGTGTAGTGTTTAATGACAGTTAGCCAATGATTATTCGGAGATCGTGAGATGCGGTCTAGTGTGACCTAGGTTTTAGAAAAACATTTTCTTTATCATGCCAACGTTTCGATCTTTATTGAGATCATCTTAAGTGTTTGTTTTCCGTCTAGGAGTGTCATTCTTGAGTGTCGTGTTGGGCTCTGTCAATACAGAAAACAAACACTTTGAGCCCTGAAGATGATCTCAATAAAGATCGAAACGTTGGCACGATAAAGAAAATTCTAAAACCTACGTCACACCAGACCGCACCTCATGATCTCCAAATAATTTTAGTATTTGTATTAAACCAGCTCACTCCATCTTTAAAGCATAAGCGCATGACTTAGAGATAACGTTAGTTTTTATCAATTAGTTTTTTTCTATAAAAAAATTAGCCATTTTAAAGTTAATTCAGAAAAACGTTATATTATAATTCATAATGTTATATATTACATGTTGGTATAATATTTTTTTAATATAATAAAAGTAAGGTTTTAAAAATCAAAGGCTTTTCCTCAAACCAAAACATCAAGTGGCGAAATCAAAATGTGATGAAAATAGAAATATCGTTACTGCTTGCATTTAGAACTTCTCTCCTCAGAAATAATTTATTTAAGGATTTGTGCATAACCCTGAAGATTCCATCTTTGCCAGGGATCAATCCGGATGAATAGTTAACAAGGCTCTTTCCCTTAAACTCGGGTCGGGGTTTGCAAAGGACCTTACGTTTTCCCACGTCAGCTTCTCTCCCAAAGCCTTATTAGCGAGGTGGTGCAACTTCGAACTTTACATTTCATATGTCTTTCAATTCTTTTATCTTTGAGCGATTATCAGTTATTTTTTCACAAGTAATTAAACCCGCTTTTTCTTTTTTATCGAAAGTCTTATTATATACAAACTATAAAATTCAATTATCTAAGAAATTCATATTGCAAATTGACCTTCGAATCGGTACTTTTCAAAACAATAACATCCAGTTTTTGAAGTAATGTGGAAAGCTTGAAGTATAATTTTTTTTGTCTTTGTGAGTGGTTTCATTCACGTGGAATAAATTTTACTGCTCTGCCAAAAAGGGACATTAATGATGATGAATTCTAACTGAAATATTAAGTTCAGTTTAGGTTTGATTGCTTGTTATCGATTACCTGTTACTCTGCATAGAATACTCAATCACATGTTTAGTACTAATCTGTTTACTTTACGTGCTGATTCCAGTTAAGTTTGCTGCCGAGACAGTGATGGATTTTTTAAAGTAACATTTCATAGAAAATTTTTGAACCCTTGACATCAAGTCCTTAGTTCCAACTAAGTCTTATGATGTTCTTATATTGTATTAAATGCAATAAGTAACAATTTATCACACTCTCAACAGAACAGACAAGAATGATATATCTACACGGAAAACAAATACTTTGTTGTAAAGTAACATAATAGTACATATAATGTAAATCCCAGTCCCTGAAGATGATCTCAATAAAGATCGAAACGTTGGCACGATAAAGAAAATGTTTTTCTGAAAACTACAACACACCAGACCGCGCCTCACGATTTTCGAATAATTATAAATAATTCATAAGAGTTGAGTTAAAAAAGTCATTGTCACGAGCGGGATTCGAACCCACGACCCTCGGTTAAATACGCAGCTGCTGTACCACTTGTAAAATGCCAAAGGAGGAAAAATCCGAAAGGTTGGTTTGAGATGGGAAGTTATTGTCCCATTTGATCGAATTCACTATAGCTCAAGTTGGAGAGCAACGGCGTATTTAGCCGAGGGTCGTGGGTTCGAATTCCGCTCGTGACAATGACTTTTTTATCTCAACCAATACCTTACATAAAGATTAATTAATTATGCATAATGTAAAACCTAAGAACCTCTACCTTTCAATGATAACAATTGTATTACAAAGTACGAGGCAAAAAGAGCATATATTAGCGGTCTTAGTATTCCCCCCTGGGGAGCCCTTTATATAATGTCCTGGGTCCTACCAACTCTTCGTTGATTCTAAAGTAAAATTTTCTGTGTGATATTAACTTGACGATATTTTGTACAAAAAGGACTGGAAGACCCAGGGCAATCAGTTTGGAGGAGAGGAGCTGTAATTGTAATTTTTGAAAACTTGACATCAAGTCCTTAGTTCCAAATAATTCTTATAATGTTCTTATATTGTATTAAATGCAATAAGTAGGAAAATTTTGTTTTCTTTTTAGTCGTTCAGTGCTAATTTTTTCATTTTTTTTCACACTCTCAACAGAACAGACAAGAATGACACATCTACACGGAAAACAAATACTTTGACCTCTGATGATGATCTCAGTAAAGATCGAAACGTTGGCACGATAAAGAAAATGTTTATCTAAAACCTACTTCACACCAGACCGCATCTCACGATCTCCGAATAACCATTTTTTTAAATTTTATTTATGCCAGTCCAATTTGCAATCGAAAAAGAATCCGAATAACAAATCTGCATCCGTGAATATAAATGTATTATATTAAGAGTAACTGGTAGATGCTTTCACTGCCTGTGAAATTTTTCATGATGGTTGTGGGGTCATGAACCCGTAGGTTATTTCATTGAGTGGAAGTAATCCATTGGAAAAAGTGATCAGTGTCGAACAGGTCAACGTCAATCTTGGAAACGCCCACCAACATCCAGTTTAATTCTTCATTGGTTGAACTGTCATCGTTTCGTTTAAGAATGATCCCTCCTCAGCCGTTTGTCTGTGCACATACCTGAGTTGAAGAAGGAACTATATCAATCAACAGCAAAGGAAGCGATTCTTCCTGCTCTTTTAGCATAGAAGAAAACAGTCTACAGTCTTAGGCGAGTATCTGATTGCAAGGACAAACCGGATCTGAGATGTTGAGACAGATACTCTGGAATTTTCCAGTTCCTTGTCTATCGTTGATATAGGAGACACTGGGTACAGGAATGGTATATAATATAATAATGTTTAACTATATAATTTTTAAATGCGCCCTTAACCATCCCTTTTTCCAAATGGTGTGACGTTGTGCGTGTGGGTATGTACGTTAGTTTGCAATTTAAAAAATGATTTTTAATAATCTGTTCCAAAATTATCTTCTAATTGAATTTTCGTTTCTTTTGCAGACAACTGTCCGGTTCTCATGACCAAAAGTAAGTACGCTTAGAGTTATACGTTTACAGTATGTCAAATCGAATTGAAACATGGAAAAAAGATCGATCATTTTTCCCATGTTAAACACGAGTGAGAAAATGGATCGATTTTCGACCCAACGGTCGGGGACTGGCTTCCTTCACCATTCCGGTTTCCACGGTTCGTCGTTAATTTTCGTTCAATTTATATCAACCATTTTAGCTCTTCAGGTTAATAGTTCGCAACTATAATCTTATGAGGTGTAAAAGTCACATTTTTACAAAATGGAGGTAAAATTTTGAGAAGTTGGGGAGAGGATAAAAGGCAATATCTTGATCAAATCATAAATATCATTTGTAGAGTATAGCACTGTTTCCACAAATTAAGACTTTTTAATGTAAAATTATCCTTTTATTAATTTGGGATTAACAGTTTTTGATTTCAAAAATATTTTTTTAGATTTGAAACTGACCAATGTAAACTTCAAATAAATATTTTTCCATTTCAAATTAACTCTTTTTTACTTCAAATTAAACGATTTCAATTTTCAAATTATTCATTTTCCCTTCTAATCAACCATTTTGAATTGTAAATTAACCTCTATTGTAATTTCAAATAAACCTGTTTTAATTTTAAAAAATGATATGGATTTATATATCATCAATCTCATAATTTTTTGATTGTTAAACATTGGACACTGAAGACTGGAAATGATTGAATATTTGATTTATTTTTAAATATAAAATAATTGTGGTTTTAATTAGATATTTTGAAAATTAATTACAGTTAAAATTAAAATTGACATAAAACTAATTTGAATAGAAAGTATTATTCTATCAATTCAAAATATTTTTAAACACAAAATAAAATATCTATAAAATAATTATGTCGCATTTTTTTAAATCTTGAATTAATAGAATGATAATTTCTATTTATACTTAATTTTATGGAATTTAAATTTAAATTTTAACTAATTTTTATACGTTATTTTGAATCAAAACCTATTTAATATTTTTGTAAACTTCTCACAATCAAAGAATTAATTCCATTGTATATAATGAATTGATTAATTTTATAGAACATTTAAAATTAATTAGAACTGATTTCCATGCGGTATTTTCTGTACAAACCCATTTCATATTATTAAAATATTCTCAGATTTAATTGTATATCAATTTTAACTGTAAATAATTTTTTCAAAAAACCCAATTATTTCACATATTTAAAATATTTTCGACTATACAAGAATTTTAATTCAGACGGATATATTTCATATCATCTTCTAATTTCTTTAACGCTTTAAAAATTGGTTGATTCCGAATAAAAAATAGAGTTAATCTGGGATTAAAAAAGGGTTAATTCGAAATTAAAAATATGTAATTTGAAATCAATAAGAGGTAGTTTGAATTAAAAAAGGATTAAATTGAAATTAAAAAGAGTTAATTTGAAAATAATAAAAAGGTAATTTAAAATAAGATAAGTTAATTTGAAATTAGGAAAGACTATTTAATATTACGGACAAAATATATTAATTCATTAGACAACACATTATTTTTTCCTTTTATATTTTTTGCTAGATCAGAGTAAAAATTTACGAATAAAAAAAATATTGGTGTTTATAAAAAGAATAATTAATTAAGAAATAAAGGGCTATTTGACGGATTGGCCGTAATAAAACTGAAATATTTGGGATTTCGTATTTTTTTTATTATTGACATGATAGCTCATTCATTAAGTAATTTTTACGTTCTTATGTATTGATAACCATAAAAAAATAAGTTGATGAATCCAAAAAAATCCCAAGCCAAAAGGAATTGAAGGAAATGCTTTCGTTTTAAAACCTACTTAAGATTTTCTATATCCGATAAAATGAAATTTATTTCTGACAGGATTGTTTTCTTTTTTTGTTAAGACTTAACTTCGTTGAACCGCCTAACGAAAAAGGCGAATAATAAAACGCGAAGTATTCCCTGAATGAAAATTAAATAGGCTATCCAAATCTAATGTCACCTATACTCCCCCGGGGCGTTAATAAGGATTCAAGGGTTGTAAATTGAAAGTGCTAATACTTATACCGTCAGAGATCCATAACAATTCAAGAAGCAATCCTCCAAGTTTCCGACTCTAAATGAGTTTGCCAAAGGTAAATATAAAATGGATTGCTCTGAGAGTTTTACCTTTATCCCCCCCAACTCCGCGAACTCTCATAAAGACTATAATATTATAATGGAGACGAACGGAAAAGTAGAGAAGGAAAAGCGGCTGAACTGAGGAAAAACTTGGTGTTAATTTTCCCAAAATGCAAATAGAAAAACTTTTTCGGATAATTAACTTAATTCAGCGCTTAGTGTTGTAATCTAAAAAGAGCTCTACTTTAAAACGTCGCGAAAGTAAAATAATTAAAAATGTACATGCTTACAATATTGTTTTATTTAGTTTAACCAAAAAAAATTTCATACATAAAAAAATATTAGTCATGAATTTACACTCTGTAAGCACTGTTTGAAAGTTGAATATCCTAACAGCATCATTTTCATCACATCGATCGGATATCAGAAATAAATGGACTGGACGGTCGTGTTTGAATTAAGTAGAAAATCATTTTATCTGAGGTGTCATTTCACGGCCTTTGAAACACACCGCTTTGCATTAGTGGAATTGTTCATGCGACAGGAGATCACATGTTCAGAGCTTTCTCGATAAAGGACAACTACGAATAGTCCATTTAAATCGATACGTATGAATAAAACGGATAAAACTACAATTCGACAAGATTTCTGAGATAATTTATAGCGTTTTAAAACAGCTTTAAACACTTATTTGGCAATTTAAATAAATTTGTAGAGAACCTAAATGATTCCGATTGTTATATTGTTGGAAGGCGAAAAATTGATTAAAAGAAAATTCATGGACCGTTAAACGATAATTATTCAGAAATCGTGAGATGCGGTCTGGTGTGATGTAGGTTTCAGAAAAACATTTTCTTTATCGTACCAACGTTTCTCATTCTCAACACGACTCGCAAGAATGGCACAGTCACACAGAAGACAAACACTTTGGGCACTGAAGATGATCTCAATAAAGATCGAAACGTTGGCACGATAAAGAAAATGTTTTTCTGACACCTAAAACACCAAACCGCATCTCACTATTTCTGAATAATTATTGATAATAATATTGTCAAAAACGAATTTCATTAAATGAAAATGTATAATTATTGAGATTTATAGAGATATATTTTAATATGTGCGGTTTATGCGTGTGCCAACGGAAACATCTCTTCTCTCGCACCGACAGGGCATTATTTCGCGCTGATATATAAAAGTGACGCACCGTTTAATCAACCGAGAGACGGGGCATATTTTACTAATTAAAATTAATGGGAAGTCCCTTTAGAACGAACTAATTAGTTATTTGTTGTCTCATAAATTAATGAAGTTAACGCTCGGTTGAAAGACTAATTTAAGCAGTGTTGGATGGGTGTGTGAGGTGGCGGATTAATTAGTTCATCGAAGTATGCGAAGCTCGCTCCAATGGTTTAACCGTCAATATTTTCTACTCTGTAAATAGCCACCCGCTGACTGCTAACAATCCTTAGTCTCATTATTGAAAATTCCTGAATTGAGAGGAAATCGATCCCATTAATTATCCTTTCCCTTTTACATTTAATTAGCAAAATTGCATCAATATTAACACAAGAGTCAATGCTTACAATATATATTTTGTGTAGGATGATGTGTCTATTGAACTCATTTGAACAAAGTTCAATTTGACCGAAATTTCTTAATTGAAAAGCTAACCTTTTCCCTAATCCTAGATTGTAATTCTAAAGATAAGAACTGGAATATACTATATACAGTAATTCCAGGAAAAAAAAACTATGTTCAATTTTTTAGCACATCTCGATATATCTTATACTTACCTCTCGCCAGAGTTAGAGAAAACTAAGCATGCAATAATTGTTTTGCAAAAAGTAGTTTAATATTAAATACTGTATATGGTAAAGACAACTCACTATTTTTTTTTCTTTGTCTGAGGAATTTAGCAATTGTCCAAGTGAAAGGCAAATAAATAAATACAAAGTTTTAAAAAGCTAGCGTTAAGGAATTATTATAAATAATGTGTGGTGATTAGTGACCGTTAGTCAATAATTATTCGCAAATCGTGAGATGCGGTCTGGTGTGATGTAGGTTTCAGAAAAAGATTTTCTTTATCGTGCCAACGTTTCGATCATTATTGAGATCATCTTCAGGGCCTGGGATTTACAAGCATTGTTTACATTTAACAAATACATGTAGTGGCACAATTATGCAAAAAACAAACACTTTGAGTGAGGAGAAATACTTTGATTGAATATAAACAAATATTTTTTGCATTCTATAAATTCACTTTTTTCCACATCCTACATGTATTTCTTAAATAGTACATACAATGTTTGTAAATCCCAGGCCCTGAAGATGATCTCAATAAAGATGGAAACGTTGGTACGATAAAGAAAATGTTTTTCTGAAACCTACATCACACCAGACCGCATCTCACGATTTTCGAATGATTATAAATAATTCATAATAGTTGCCTCGTACTTTGTAATACAATTGTTATCATTGCAAGGTAGAGGTTCTTTACATTATGCATAATTAATTAATCTTTATGTAAGATATTGGTTGAGATAAAAAAAGTCATTGTCACGAGCGGGATTCGAACCCTCGACCCTCGGCTAAATACGCAGCTGCTCTACCACTTGAAAAATGCCAAAGGAGGAAAAATCCGAAAGGTTGGGTTGAGATGGGAAGTTAGTGTCCCAGATGATCGAAGTCACGATAGCTCAAGTTGTATTTACCCGAGGGTCGTGGGTTGGAATCCCGCTCGTGACAATGACTTTTTTATCTCAACCAATATCTTACATAAAGATTAATTAATTATGCATAATGTAAAACCTAAGAACATCTAGCTTGCAATGGTAACAATTGTATTACAAAGTACGAGGCGAAAAAGGGCATATATTAGCGGGCCTAGTATTCCCCCCTGCGGGAGCCCTTTATATGATGTCCTGGGTCCTATCAACGCTTCGTTGATTCTAAAGTAAAATTTTCTGTCTGATATTAAGTTGACGATGTTTTGTACTCCAGTACAAAAAGGACTGGAGGACCCATGGCAATCAGATTGGAGGCGAGGAGCTGTGTGACAACATTGGCTCCGCTTATGTCCAAGAAGAGCGCGGGCACTGATTTAATACTGAAAAGGGCCAGTTTGATGTCGGTTACTAAAGTAGCTGTCCATCTATGACTGATTTATTATTGCGGAAGCCAAATTGACATTGGTGAAGTTTACAATTTTGCTCCGCCCACCACTCAAAGCGAGTTTTGATCATGTGTTCATAGGTTTTTTGAACACACGAAACCAAAGAAATGGATCTGTATGAGTTGGAAGAGTCAGGAGGCTTCCCTGCTATCTTTATTAGGATTATTACCGTTTCATTCCATTGATCTGGCATTTCTTGGCTAGTCGAAATGCGATTGTATAGTTCGAGTAATGCAGCCTTCGCTAGAGGAGGCAGGTTTTTATCATGGAATAGTGGATCTGATTCTTACCAGGGGAACTATTATTTGTTGGCTTTAAAGCGCAGTTTAACTCAGCCTTGGTGAAATTATCTATTAAGTAGTGGGAACCGTGGTAATGCGTACGTCCAGGCCTGAACTTTTCGTTGGGCCCGCTAGGACAGAGCTTGTTTATCAGGTCTGTCGTCCATTGCCCAAAGAAGATTGGAGTGCTTTTAAAAATCTTTAGTTTGGCCCAGATTTCTGAAATTGGGGTCGTGTAATTGATAGAGGAACAGAAATTTCTTCAGGATTTTTTTTTTTTGCATCCCTGATATTTTGTGCTTCGAGTGAAAGCGTTCTTAAGATGTCATAGATTTCTAAAGATGGGGAGATTTTATAATTTTTTCTTTATTGCCGCTTCGCACTGTGTATTCCACCGTATCTTACGTTTTCACTTGTGGGAAACCATTTTCTTATTTTCAGGAATGCTCCAATGAACCAGGAAGGAAACTGATGGGACATATTGGTTAAGACTTTTTCAAATGTGTTGTACGTCAATTTTTCTCTGTGGAGTGTGGATTTGTTTTCCTCCCAGGCAAGCCTATAAGCATTCGTTTGCATTTTTGATATTTCATCTGACCTGTGTGCTTGACAAGCTTAGTGCTGAGGAGTTTCATATTGTGAAAAGGATTGGGACATAGTACGATCATATTGGATCATCCATAGCTTCCCATCTTCTTCTAAGGGCGAGGTCGGAAGAAAATAGCGTAATGTCCACGGATGAGTTGCCTCACTAATTTCAAGTTTCACTACCATCACTTGTTATTGTCTGTCAGACGTGTTCTTAAATACTTCAGCAGACCAAAGCGTTCGGAAACAAGCGGTTGGTTCTTTACTCACTTTAATTTACTAGTGTGTACTACTTTAATTTACACTACTTACTTTAATAGTCAAATTGCTTTAATACTTATTTTATGGAAATATTTTTAAAATCTGTGTGGTGATTAGTGACCGTTAATCGGTAACTATTCAGAAATCGTGAGATGCGGTCTGGTGTGATGTTGGTTTCAGAAAAACATTTTCTTTGTCGTGCCAACGTTTCGATCTTTATTGAGATCATCTTCAGGGCTTAAAGTGTTTGTCTTTTGTGTGATTGTGCCATTCTTGCGTGTCGTGTTGAGAGTGAGGAACGTTGGCACGATAAAGGAAATGTTTTTCTGAAACCTACATCACACCAGACCGCATCTCACGACCTCCAAATAACAAATAATACTCAGAACTACTACTGAAGATGACGAAATGTTGATACGTATCTATTAGACCAAAATGACCTTAAATGACCAAATTGCAGGTTCATCAGAAAACAGACATCAAGAAGATCGTACAAGTACTAGTTAAAACTAGTTAAATATTTTTTGTCGTTATCAGATCAAGGTAACTTTACTTGTACTTGTCGGGTAGACACGAGTAATTTTATTTTCAGGTTGATAAAAATACGAAATCTTACAACTTTGGACAACAATTTTTTCGTGAATATTAATAAAAAATGTAATAATTTAAGAAAAAACTAACACTAGAAATATCAATGAACTCAATTATTTATTTCAATCACAGGAAGATAGAACAACGTTAATCCATAAAATGGTCTTTGGTTCTGTTGTGGAATAATCATCCACTATTATGCCAGAATATCTATAAAAGAAATATCTTTATATTCAAAAAAGGTATCTTTTTATTTCCTGCATTACTGTTTTTTCTTCATTTTTTTCTATAATGGTCCGTTCAATCTCGCTTGTTTCGACTGTCAGACTCGTTTCAATCGTCTGATCTTCCACTGAAGTGAGTAAAATGCTGAAAACCGTTCTGACATACAAAAAGATCTATTATAGAAAAATCTTGCTCATCAAAAACGGATCCTAACCTACATCACACCAGACCGCATCTCACGATTTCTGAACAATTATTTTTAAAATCCTTTACGTACTTTATTTAAATTCAATCTTTTACTATAATAGATAGTGTATGTTATCAAAATATTGTGAAATTTATTATACACTAAAAAATTATGGTTATTTAGATTGCTAGCTAACTGAACATAAAACATTTCACTTATTATCGCTAATAAATTGTTAACTATGAGTTTTGGTTAAAGATAGATAAACTTTATCTTTTGTCTATCTATGTTATTTATCTGCTGATTAGCCGTGACCTAATGGCTAGGCATTGTCATTCACGAGTTCGTGAACCACGATTTGCGTTAATTGACTGTTAGTGGGACCGTACACAGCACTTAGCGCTAAAATACCTGATACGGATACTGGCTGTTTGCGGAGTCGCTAAGTGGATTATGCCAGAAACATTCATTTGCCTTTATATATAAGGCTAGTGATTGCTTAAACGACAATGACCAATTAAAGTAGATAAATGACAATGGATTTATTGCCAATAGACACTTTTACGACCAAATGGCTTTACTCGTCGGCTCGAGGAAATTGGCCACTGAGTATAATTTGCTCACAAAGATTTGTTAATCGATAAATATAGATAATTGGATTAAGTATAACTACAAGTTTAACTTAAAGATGTAATAAAATATTTAATATTTTGAATACATTAGACAACTAATTGCATCATTTGTATAAAAGTAAATTCTTAAGTTGAAATTTATTGTCAGACATTTCGAAGAAAAAATAATGTTATTAATGTTATTTTTATTTAAAAAACTAATTTGTTATTAAATATCTTCGCTCTTTTTTCTTTCACACTCTTACACTCACTTTCTATCCAACTACACATCATTATTCTCTCTCTCTCTCTATTTCTCTCTCTCTCTCTCTCTCTCTCTCTCTCTCTCTCTCTCTTCCCTCTCTCTTTTTTATCTGTTATTTACACATTTTTATTTTCTCTCTTACTAACTCTAATATTGTCGCCAACTTACACTTTCTTATTTTCAATTTCTTACTTATTCTTGCATATCTTCTGTACCTACGTTCTCTCTTACTTCTTTTCCTTTCTGTTTTCTGAAAGATTCTATCCCTTAATTTGTGCCTCCCTTAAGTTTTTTCTTTTTCACTCTCTCTCTCTCACTCTCTCTCTCTTTTCTTTCTTTTACTTTGTTATCTACGCGTTTTTATTTTCTCTCTTACTAACATTTTAATATTATCTCCCAGTTACTTACGCTTTCTTATTTTAGATGTCTTTCTTATTCTTTCATATTTTCGATACCTACATTCTCTCTTATTTATTTTCCTTTCTTTTTCTGAAATATTCTATCCATTATGTTTTCTTTCCGTTACATCTTTTCTTTTTCACCCTCTCCCCCTTCTCTTTCTTTCTCTCTTTTATCTAAGTGTTTTTATTTTCTCTTTTACTAACTCTTTAATATTTTCTCCCACTTACTTACTCGTTATTATTCTATTTATTTATTATTATTATTCTGTAGATGTGTTACTTATTTTTGTATATTTTTTTTACCTGCATTCTCTCTTACTTCTTTTCCATTCTTTTTCTGAAAGATTCTACCCTTTATGTTGCCTCTCCCTTACGTCTTTTTTTACACCCACTTTCTCTCTCGCACACTCTCTCTCTTTCTTTCTCTATCTCCTCATTTCACTCTATTTCTTGCTCTCTCTCTTTCTTTTGTTAATTTCAACCAAGTTCGTTAAGGCCTAAATTTGCAATATTTTTAAATAAAACGATATTGATTCATTCTCCTTTTTTCCTCTCACTCCAGCTCGTTTTAATTTTCTCTCTTTCTCTAACTACCCGTTTTTGTTCTCTCTCTCCCTCTCACTCTCTCTCTCTCTTTCTCACTCTCTTTCTTGCTCTCTCTTTCTTTTGTTAATTTCAACCATGTTCGTTAAAGACCTAAATTTACATTACTTTAAAATAAAACGATATTGATTCATTCTCCTTTTTCCCTCTCACTCCAGCTCGTTTTAATTTTCTCTCTTTCTCTAACTACCCGTCTTTGTTCTCTCTCCCTCTCTCTCTCTCTCTCTCTCTCTCTCTCTCTCTCTCTCTCTCTCTCTCTCACACACACACACACACACACACACACACTCTTTATACTCTCTTTCTCTATCCCGTCAATAGTTTGTTATTTCTCACTCTTACTTTCTATTTTTTTTTTTGGTTTCTTGCTCTCTTTCTTTTCTACACTTTTCCTTTCTTGCACGCTTTCTGTCTCTATAAATGTGTTTTCGCCTCAGTAGTTTTCTTGTTTTGCCTGTCAGACGCGTTTCAACGTATCCTTACCTTGCAGGCAAAAAGCATCAAACACAAATTCATGCTAAACAAGCTCGCTGCTAAAGATGTCAAAAGTAAAAAGCGAATGGCAGAAGAAAATAGCTTGGATCAAGGCTAAACCAAATCTGTGGGGTTTAGTGACAAATGATTATTTGGAGAGATCGTGAGATGCGGTCTGATGCGACGTCGGGTTTAGAAATACATTTGCTTAATCGTACCAACATTTCGAGCTTTATTGAGCCCTGAAGATGATCTCAATAAAGATCGAAACGTTGGCACGTTAAAGAAAATTACAATTAATTAAGGTTTTTAGTTGATATGAAAAAAAGTTAATGGCACGAGAGGGATTCGAACCCACGACCTTCGGCTTGATACGCCGCTGCTCTACCACTTGAGCTATCGTGACCTCGATCCACTCGGACACTAACTTCCCATCTCAACCTTATGAGTTTTCCCTTTCGTGCCATTGACTTTTTTTCATCTCAACTAAAATCCTTAATTAATTGTAATGTTTAATTGGTCAAGCGGACCACGAAATTAGTGAAGTTAAAGAAAATGTTCTTTGTTTCTAAAACCTACGCTATATCAAATGACTAATTTGTTTTTTTTTTAATTCCTTGACAACTAGAAACTTATTTAAAAATATTTGTTATGATAGATATTGATATTGAGATAATTGAGTTATTTATTTATTAGAACAAATGATGGTGTCCTTTATAGCTTCTCTAACTTTAGCATATGGTCAAATCCTCGTTATTATTACAAAATAACGCTTTATACGTTACAAAAATTTGAAAATATTTCAAAATATTTAAACTAAAGATTTTCTAGGTTTTATATTGATTTGTGGTTTAAATAAAAGATAAGTATTTCCCAAAATGTACGCAATTGCGGTGTGTTTACTGACATTTTTAGGTTTTATTAGATTCCAGTTGCCAGGTTCCTCGGTTATATGAAGCAAAAATAGCCTCATATTGATCAAAAATCAATTAAGTTGTCCACTTGCGGATCAACCGGCTAATTTATACACTCCAATTTAGTTGTAAGCCCGAAATTGACATTCAAACCCCAAATAGTCCATTATCCGAAAAGTTCAATCAGCGCTTATGAAAGGGGAAAGTGACGTCTTAATTAAATCCCGCAAGCAAAATCAGGTGCGGTAAAGTTAGGCTATTGTGTGAAGGAGGACTCGTTCCTTACCCTCTCTTAACCCCCAATTACCCTTGAAGGCGGTTGCGGAAGGGGTTACGAGTACGGCGAAATCCCACCTTCGTCTCTAAATGGCGTTCCATTAAGCCACCTTTGCACTGTTGAAGATCCGTTTCAAATTAATAACTTTCCCTTTTAATCGCAGCGGTGTTTACAGCGTTTAGCAAATAAACGTTCAACCTTCACTTACAAAATGCAATTCACTTTTACCGCACCATTGCTACTCTTTTAAAAGGGGTTTAAGAGGTTTTATGCACCAAAATATATTCTTGGGTACCAAATTTTCATTCTTTCCAAGGGCGATTCTAAGAACGTAAAATTTAATAATGCTTTGGGTTTTGACATATTAAATGACGTGAGAGTGTCTCTAGTACCTATTATCTTCAATTTTGTTAGAAAAAGACAATCAGGAATCACAGCAAATAACCTGGAAACAGTCTAATTGCTAACAAGAAAACACCCTCGTTGATAATTAACCCCATAACACTCTGGTTTGGTCAAAAATATAGGAAAATGAAAGAACACTTGTTTTTTAGCCTAATATCGTAAAAGAGTTCATGGTTTACTTTCTGAAAGGTAGATTTGAACGATTTTTTGTTGTGTACTGTAGTTGTTAAACATTTATCCAAATGATGAAAGTCAGTTGCAGCAAAGTCATGAATATGGACGGTTTTGAAGTACCTCCATAATCTCAAGTACATTCTTTCCAGTTTACATACCTTTCACTCACTTAGGTTGGTGTAGTAGTCAATATTCCTTCACACCTATTATATAACTACCTAGATAAGGTCGATGAGGTACTCAATCCTCCATCATCAGCCGGCTTTAAATCTATTTTCTAGAATACGAATATACTGGTTTTTACCCGCGACTTCTTTCCCCCGGACTCTGTTTAAATGAAACTTTTTTATGCAATGCAAAGTGCTCATATGGTTTTTTAATATAACGTCTGGTTTCTGATATTCTTCTCTTCTTGATTTCGCTTCGGTCTAAACATGGTAAAAAATTGCCTATATCATTCCCGTAGGGACGAAATTTCGAAAGAACATTTTTTAGCGCCTACCCATGTCATTATAGGAAGGCACTGTAAAATTTTCAGCCCCTTAGATCCAGCTAGTTTTTTTGTGTGTTGTCTGGCAATCAGTCACGGAATTGTTTTTTTTTTCTTCACCCCCGAAGCACTAACATAATACCGCACACGACACTAAATACATTCATACTTATATACATTGATCGCACTCATACTGTTTGGTAGATGGAGTACTCGATATTCTCTATAATAAAATAATCTAGACTGGGATCGATGGTTTATTTTTATAAAGTTTCCGCCATCAGCCCAAGTCATACTCATTTGGTTTAAACACTGGGGGGTACGAAAGCAACACGTGTTCGGCCGAAAGATACTTTATTTAATAACTTCTCAAAAGCAGTCTCGGAAGGTTCACTTTTTAAGGCAGTGTTGCCAAAATGGTCGCCACACTACCTCCCTTCCTAAAGGAATGAAACAAAACAAAACACAAAAGAAAACAAAATATTACCTTATGAAACGTTGACAACAAAATAAAATTTAATAAGCTACGTATAAAAGGCACAATGTCCATTTTTATTTACATGTATTATAATTGAAACATAATCATATAGGTATGTACAGTTAAAAACCAATCTGATCAAGGAAACGCTTTGGAAAATGCACTCTCCGACCCGATCGTGTCATCAGGTTGCCCTCTTCTAAGGTTGTATGTTTGTTCCTTTCATCTTCTTGCTTGTCTGTCTCGTTGATGTTCTTCTGGTTGTCATTTTTGCTTGTTGAATCCTGGGGACCTGATGAACTTGAAGTCCGCTGCTGCCCCGAGGTTGCGTCCACAAAAGCCGGTTTAATGCGATCGATAGATATTCTCTTAGAAACTCCATTCATGCTGATGTCGAAAAATTTTTGGTATCTGTTTTTGACTTCGAAGGGCCCGTCATAAGGTGGTTCTAAGGGTGGTCTCACAGTGTCGTTTCGGACGAACACATGGCTGGCAGAGCTGAGTCCCGGGTGTACAAAAGGTTTTTGCTTAGCATGTAGTGATGTTGGAGGTGGACGCAGCTTACGCATGATGTCTTGTAGCTGTTGAGCGAAATTATTAGGTGCGTGATTGTTAGCATCATGAAAAAATTCTCCTGGGAGCCTAAGATTGCACCCATAGACCAATTGTGATGGAGTAGCTTGAATATCTTCTTTAAACACGCACCTCATTCCTAGTAACACCCAGGGCAAAGCATCGATCCATGATGTCGATGACTGTAGGTGGCTTGTCAGTGCTGCTTTCATTGTTCGGTGGTGACGTTCGAGTAAACCATTCGACTGAGGGTGATATGCCGTAGTGTTGGACGAAGAAATGCCGAGTAAACGCTTTAAAGAAATGAATAACTCACTTTGGAATTGACGACCTAAATCTGTTGTCAATTTATAAGGAATACCAAACCTTGCCGTCCAACCCGAAATGAAAGCTTTGCTTACCGATTCGGCCGTTTGGTCGCAAATCGGAAATGCCTCCAGCCAGCGAGTAAACCGGTCGGTGGCGGTCAAAAGGTACCTGAAACCTTGACACATAGGCAGCGGCCCCACGATGTCGAGATGTACATGGCTAAACCGACTCTCGGGGACAGCAAAATCGGACAAGGGTGCTTTGGTATGTCGGTGAATTTTACTTCGCTGGCAGGAAACGCACGACTTGGCCCAATTTGCGACGTCTTTTCTGATTTCCGGCCAGAAATATCGCTCGGTAATTAGTTTAACGGAACCGCGAGTTCCCGGATGGGATAAACCATGTAGCCTGTCAAAAATCGAACGACGAAACTCTTTCGGAATATATGGCCTTATCCGGCCCGTGGAAACTTCACAATAAATGGTTTTGCGCTTAGAAGGTTCTGGGTAGGTGGCGAAGCGCAGGTTAGGCCTTAGAAGCAGCTCCTGCAATTCCTCGCAGTCTTGCTGTACTGCCAGCATGTCGTAATCCAGAAAAGAAGGAAAATTGATCGTCTCCACCCTTGAAAGGGCGTCAGCTACAACATTACTTTTTCCTTTTAAATGTTGCAGGTCCGTAGAAAATTCCGCTATAAAAGTTAATTGCCTTGTTTGTCTCGGTGAAGTTTTCTCTAGCTTCTGGTTGAAAGCATATACTAACGGCTTATGATCAGTATAAATCGTCAAGGTACGCCCTTCCAAAAAATGACGAAAATACTTAATACTCTCGTAAACTGCCAGTAGTTCGCGATCGTAGGCGCTATATCGCTTTTGGGTTTCATCCAACTTACGGGAAAAGAACGCCAGAGGTTGCCAATGTTGACCCATTTTCTGTTCCAACACCGCACCTATTGCTACATCCGAAGCGTCAGTTGTCAAAGAAATAGTAGCTTCTGTCTTAGGGTGGGCTAGAAGGGCCGCTTTGCTTAAGGCTTCTTTTAGTGAATTAAAGGAGACTGTCATTTCGTTTGTAAACTGTAACGGTGAACGATCTGAACGAGAACCCTGGCAAATGGCGTTCAATAAGGGAGTTTGGATATGAGCGGCCCGCGGAATGAAACGATGATAAAAATTTACCATCCCCAAGAAGCGTCGTAAACTCTTCACTGTCTCCGGTCGAGGAAAATCCACGATGGCCTGTACCTTATCGTGCCGCGGGGCTAAACCTTCTTGTGTTATCTGATGACCTAAAAATTGTACGGTCTGTCTGCCAAAAATACACTTGGATGGGTTAATAGCGACACCGAATTCTGTGAATCTCCGAAAAATCGTACGTAAATCTGATAAATGTTGTTCATAAGACTCCGAAGCCACCAAAACATCGTCCAAATAAGCATAGCAAAACGGCAGTCCCTCAAGCACCCGATCTATAAACCGTTGGAAAGTCTGCGCCGCTCCACGAAGACCGAATACCATATATGGAAACTCGAACAGACCGAATGGAGTTGTAATGGCCGTCTTTGCTACATCTTCTTCCCTTACTGGAATCTGTTAATAAGCCCTTACAAGATCGATGGTTGAGAAAACAGTTTTATTAGCCAAAAAATGGGTACAGTCCTGTAAAAACGGAATAGGGTAACGATCCGGAACGGTTAATGCATTAAGTTTACGATAATCACCGCAAGGGCGCCAATCACCGTTTTTTTTAGCAACTAAATGCAATGGACTTGCCCAAGGGCTACGAGAAGGGCGACAAAGGCCTTGTTGTACCATGAAATCGAATTCACACTTCGCAGCTGCTAGTTTTGCCGGAGCTAAACGTCTAGGACGAGAAGCGATAGGTGGACCAGTCGTAATAATGTAATGTTCTATATTATGATTCGTTGTCTTTGGCGCGATAGACGGTCGGGTTAATGAAGGGAATTCCATTAAGAGTTTCCTGAAAGGCGAAGATGTTTCTATGACAAAAACCGAAGGTGCTCTAGTTTGTTGTACACCGAGAGGTGTCTGAAGTAACGTTGATCCGTCGATTAGACAAGAACGCCGCAAATCAGGCAGTAGGTTAAAATATCTAAGTAGGTCTGCGCCTATTATTGGTTGCATGACGGTAGTGAGTAAAAATGGCCACTGAAAACAACGACGCAGACCCAAATTTAGGTTAATTAGTTTAGTGCCGAAAGTGTGTAAAGGAGAACCGTCTGCGGTAACTAAAGAGAATTTTGAAGGTCCACGACATTTATCTTCGTTTGTTGCTGGCCATACTGATACGTCTGCGCCGGTGTCGATTAAGTACTTAATATTGGAAGTCTTGTCAGTGACGAATAGGCGGTTATTTATACCTCGACTGCAATCCGCCAATTGTAGCCGAGGATTTATTTTTCCGGTGCGGTGACGTAAGAGCAGGGGGGACGACATTTAGAAGCCCTGCGACCGAAAGTTGCATGGTACCAGCAAAATTCCACGTTGTTTATGTTGAAGGGTGAGGAACTGCGGCTTCGTGGTGAAATCTGGTTATTACGGCGATTATTATTGCGACGATTTTGAGTTCTAAGCTCACTAATCTCTAAACTCATATTTTCAATTTTTCGCGCCAGCTCGAGTAAACGCTCATCCGTTAGGGAACACTGACTAGGTTTAGGTGAAACGTCTGATTGCAATGGGCACAATCCTGGTCTTTGCACTTCCATCATCTTGTCTGCCATCGAAATTAATTTTCCGGTTGCGACTTCGTCGCCGAGTACCGATAAAGTTGAGTGTACATTGCTGGGCAATCGTTGTAGCCAAAGAGATCGCAACAATTCCTCCCCGACTTTCGCTCCACCTAAATCGCGCATTTTTCTGAATAATTGTGAAGGCTTCTGATCTCCTAGTTCCAGCTCGTTTAACAGTTTTTTTAATCGTAACTGTTCGCTATCGGCAAACACATCTATTATCACCTTTTTTACAGTGTCGTATTTATCTGTCTTAGGAGGATTGTTGATTATATCACTCACCTGTTCGAGCACCTCTCCGTCCAAACAGCTCACAATGTAATGAAATTTGGTTTCATCTGCGATCACTCCAGAAACGTAAAAACTGGACTCTACTTGTTTAAACCATAAGCTTGGCTTCTGTTTCCAAAAGGGAGGCAGTTTCACAGCAACTCTGGCTATAACGGGCTCCGCAGCCTTTTCCTCTTCGTTTTCAGACATTATGAAATGCGTAGATAAACTTACGAAATCGTCGGGGTCACCAATTTGGTTTAAACACTGGGGGGTACGAAAGCAACACGTGTTCGGCCGAAAGATACTTTATTTAATAACTTCTCAAAAGCAGTCTCGGAAGGTTCACTTTTTGAGGCAGTGTTGCCAAAATGGTCGCCACACTCACAACCTGAGAAGCGATTGCAAAGCTATTATCAGCTCCTCCCCATTCTCATCAATAAATACATTCACTCATGCAAGACACAGAAACTCAAAACATATACCTTTATGTCTATGTACAATAAAAAATTCCCAAATCCTTTAAAAAGCAAAACAGAGGACCCTGAAACTCGCTGCTGTGTCCGAGAACTCTTTTTAAATCTGGCCGCATGACTACTCGCGCTCTATAGGGAGCCAATGCACGACACGCTTCGACTATGTGGGACACATCGAGCAACCTTTCCCTGCATAACGGACACCTGCGGGTGGATTGGCCCACTTGCAAGGGCCCATGTGTCAACCGAGTATAGCGTATTCTTAATCTGGTAATAACTATTACTTCTTTGGGGTTCAGATCCTCGGGGGACAATCTGCAGGTCGTGCACTTAACACGAAGGAGCTCTCGGATGACCCTGCCCACTGACGCTGCCATTTATCCCGTATCATTTTTTTTTTACAGCTCGTTTAGTGTCAGAGGGACTGATCTCGATTGTCCGGTAGGGACGGTGAGACGTTCCAGCTTTCGCCGCCGCGTCCGCGCGTTCGTTACTCTCCGATTTGTTCAGGGCCCCAGACACAACCACGGTTTTTCCGAGGAGCTCCAATTCGGTATATCTTTCTAGCAAGAACACGACCAGAGGGTCCTCAGAGAATCCGTCCACGCAGTGCCCAAACAGCGCTCAGAGAGTCGGTACATACGAGGAAGGCTGAACCCTCCTCGGTCCGCACCGCCTCGACAGCGTGCAAAATCGCGTACGTTTCTGCCGGGTATTCGCTGCAGTGCGGAGGCAACGACCAAGACTTGTCCGCTCCCTCGCTATACACGCCACACGCCACAACATCGTCGGTCCTCGACCCGTCTGTAAAAACGGGACGAAAACCGGTGTATATGTTTTTAAGTTTATAAATCTTGCCTTTGTAGAGGTATGGCGGTGTACACGATTTGGGCAACTTCGACATATCGTCACGGACGAGTAGGGCAGGAAGAGTCAAGAGCGGCGTAGGTCTGTCGCCCAGACGAAGCACCGTCCTCAGGGCCAGTCCAGTCCTCCCTAGGGCTTCACTTGCACTGTCAAACTTTCAGTCGTTTAGATCCAGCAGTTTGGTCTGTGCGTTGTCTGACAGTCAGTCACGGAATTGTTTCATATATACAGAGAGAGCAAATATGTATGTAATTTCAAAAAATACTTTCTTAGCGATTATAGATGTCATTATAAAAATTCATTTTCGAAATTCATCAGCCCGTTTGCAATAAACATTCACGCTAATAATTACATTCACCCTCAGCACACGTTAAGTACAGAAACATATATATATATATNTATATATAGTATATAAAACAACCCTGTACCCAAGGGGCCCAAAGATTCCCAGATTCGCTGCCGTGCTCGAGCACAATTCTTATGTCGGGAAGTACTAGCTCTCTATGTAGAGCCAAAGACTGACTTTAATTATGTTGGATTCATTGAGCATCCTTTATTTGCATGCCGGGCACATACGGTTTAGATTCTTCGGGGGCCACCTATTAACCGTGCTCTAGACAGGAAAAGCTTCACGGACGTCGCAGTCCCTGATACTGTCACGTTTTTTATCATGCTCTTTATTGCTCGGTTTTCTTAAGCGGATCGAATTTTATTATTATTACTATTAAATATTAAAAACTTTCCGCCTTTTCAAATTGTATACAATAACATATAAATTGTAACAGCTTAATAACATATATGTTGTAATTAGATGGGCAAAGTAGAACTAGAATCGCAACCCGGGGCTAAGGGTTAAGTTAGGAGATTTAGCGCGCCAGAAATTCTCTTGTTTTATGTTGCCTTCACAAACAGAGTTATGCGTTTTGTGTAATTCCAATTAAGTTTATAGCAACTTAACTCACAGATTTTCAGAATTGGGATTCCTTTTGTCATTTTCTAACTTTCCGTTTACAGTAACTCAAATCATTTGAAAAATGTTATCATCAAATTAGCGATTTTTTTAAAAAGAAAGATTATATATTATAAGACCCTTGAAATTCAGTGTTGAAACATTTTTAATGATATCGTTTAATTTAATAAATATAATTTTATTATAAATATGGAAACCACGTGTGAATATAATTTATTAGTGTGAATCCCCAATAAATCCGAAAAATATCGGGTACTCTAGTGTAGCATCAACAAAGCCTGATGAGTGAATGTAATTAATTAGTCCTTTTATTTAAGGCTTTGGTTAAAGCGAAAAAGTAAGTGCCACGAGCGGGATTCGAACCCACGACCTTCGGCTTGATACTCCGCTGCCCTTCCACTTGAGCTATCGCGACTTCGATCCACTCGGTTACCAACTTCTCATTTCAACCAACAACCTTTAGAATTTTCCCTCCTTTTTGCCATTTTTGAGTTAGAATCCCGCTCGTGACACTGACTTTTTCGTTTCAAATCAAAACCTTACATAAAAATATTAATTAATTGAAAGAATTAATTTGATCCATGGACTCATAAATATGAAGTAATTTATCTGCGTGAACAGACGAGCATATTCCCAATTACCCTAAGCAATATCGAGTAGGTACGTTGATATAGTTTGAATGTTCAGAAAACTATCATGGTTTTATTTATTTTCTCTGTATTTGTGTTATTTTATGCACAAATGACGAAGCCCTGAGATAGAGAGAGGCTGGTATAACGAAAAAAAAGAAAAGAAAGAATTATTCAGAAATTTTTTTTCAGAATTATTTGGAGATCGTGAGATGCGGTCTGGTGTCATGTAGATTTCAGAAAAACATTTGCTTTATCGTGCCAACGTTTCGATCTTTGTTGAGATCATTTGAGGCTGAAAAGAGCCGACGAAGGGGAAAAACACACTCAAGAATGGTACAATTACACAGAAGACAAACACTTTGAGTGAGTAGAAATATTTTGATTGAATATAAAAAATATATTTTGCATTGTATAAATTCACTTTTTTCCACATCCTACATGTATTTGTTAAATATAAACAATGTTTGTAAATCCCAGGCCCTGAAGAAGATCTCAATAAAGATCGAAACGTTGGCACGATAAAGAAAATGTTTTTCTGAAACCTACATCACACCAGATCGCATCTCACGATTTGTGAATAATTAATCGATTAACGGTCACTAACCACCACACACACAGAAAAGAAAGAATTGGTGCTGTTATGTCATAAAGCATCATAGATTGACTGGAAAATCAGTAAATAAAATTAGTTTGTTTAAAACGCGAGAAAGATAAGAGAAAAATGCAAAGATAAAGAGGACAGACCTTGCCATTTTGTCGGTCCTAAAACAAAAATATAAAAAAATATAAGTGAAAATTTCTCGATCCATTTTCTTCATCAGGACTTTGAAACTTTGTTAATAATTTGCTAGGTTAAGAATATTTACTAATTGATATACTTGATAATCTTTCTAAAAGCCCATTTGATCTTATTGGAATTATTTGAAATAATAGCATATAGAATGTTTGGTCTTTGATAAAACACCAGGATTCAAATCTAGTGACTCCATAAGAATTAGATTCGGAAGATTTTCAAAAGTAGATTAAAAATAAAAGGAAGTCCCTCTAAAAAATTTCCCCTCATTTCGAGATAAATGAATGAGACGGTGAACGTTGATGTTCTTCTTCTTTCAATTTTAATGGTTCAAAACCTCTTCGATATATTCAATAGTAAAACATGTATAAATTATTACGATGTTCTTCAAGGGAGATAAATTACCGATAAAAGTAGAATGATTGAAAATATGTAATTTCAATAAAATCATCTCTCACCTTACATAAAAGTTCCATCCTTGATGTATTAGGGGAGATCAGTCCCAAGGTTAGTGCTATCGATTTTTCACTCAAGAAAGTATAACATGCAATAAGAATCCACCATCTATTTTATTGAATGTCCTTCAATGCACGACGGCAAAAAAGTTTTTATACCTCTAACATATTCTGTCTTTTATAGGGACGGAAATAATATATATTTCTGTAAAACAGAAAACTTACTTCAGAATCATCTTTGTAATGAATTCCTTAACCTCTGGCAAATGTTATACAGCCAGGCCGACCGGCGACATTGCCGTAATTCGCCCGAGTTGAATTTGTAATTTAGCAGTAATTTCCGGCCAACCTTGAGTTCGTCGAATGATGATGGGTTGTTGTGGCTCCGAAGGGGGTGGGATTGAAGCAACAAGTTCTACCCCTTTAACAGCACCTCCCCCTTTGATGCGGCATGTTTAACATACTCTTAGTACATCTAAAAGCCCAATATCCGTTATGAGGGACAGATCATGAGCTGAATCATCAACTCTGATGAAGTTTCTATTTGATATTAAGACGTATTTCTCGACAGCGAAAATGTTCCGGCTTTTCTTTCTCCCCAGACGTGAAAAGATTCATTGCTGGAATGATGTACAGTACTTCATTCTTCTGTTTCTTGGAATAAGAAGAAAATTTATGATAATAGTTTGCAAATAATGAATGCTTGATGATATTAAACCTAATTTTAGAGAATGTATTAACTTTACATGTTCATTTTGAAGGGGGTAATAAAGTTTATGTTTTATTGTTTTAGCAATCTTTGGCAATGTTGGTACTGAGTCGTTCTTGAAAAAAATTTGCAATCATCTACTAAAGCCTAATTATGACAATATGTAGGCATATTTCAGATTGTTGTAAATAGGAGAGACTGTATTTAAGAATAAACGTGAGTTTGAATGGGTTTGGAAGAGCAAGACTTGAATGCTGAATAGACTTTTTTTTGACAGCATCCTCCCTGATTCCAACCATGGTGGCAGGACGACTCGATCTAGGATCAGAAATCTCTAGAATATTCTTTCTTGTCCAATCCCTAAGCTCCTTCCTTATCTCTTTTTACCAACACCTAATCTCCCTTCATAACAGACTAATATGTCAATATTATTAGGCCCTTTTGCTACATGAGACAACTTTTCGTCCCTTTTTTCTCAACTTTTAAGTTCACATTTTGTAATTTTGTTTGCACAA